AGAAAAAAAAAAAAAAAAACACCTCCAGATTCGGGCGTTGAGGTAGCTCAACGCTGCAAGTGGGACTCGGGCCCCGTCCTTTCCTCTGTCCTTACGCAGAGATGGCCTCGCTCCACTACACAACACTCCAGGATTTCTGGACCTGGTACATTCACGATGTTGGAGTCCTCGAGACGCACCTAGTCCACAAAGCCTCCAAATGCATGTAAACTGCTGTGTAATGGAGCCAGGCCCGATGACCCCTCGTTTCTCACCCATACACCGATGACCCCTCTTTACTCGCCCATACACGAGCCCACTGGTAACGGGTGTGTAGGCCCCGCTTAGCCATTGGTGGATTCAAGCCAAAACACAAATAAAGGAGCGAGGAGTATTTATCAATTTCTGCGTGTTATCCTTGCAAAGGGTCCAAGCTAGGAGTATTTCCCGATTGATGGGGTCTATGCTAGAGATACTGGTAAGAGCAGACACCCCTACGAGGGCCCCCCCACTATCTTTCATTGGGAATCTCGTGACACCAACATACCAACAGGCTGAGAGGCTCGCCACACAGGCTGTGGAATGTCGAAAATTTTCGACAGGTGTCAGAGAATTTTTGACAGTGGGGCGGTCGACAATTTCCCCCCTTTTCGCCACAGGCTGTCTAATGTCGAGGGGCAAGGTTTTTGGTCCTGGCCAGGCGGACGGGTTTCACGGAAGTCGACGGAGCAGTCCCTGACAACGCAAATTCGAACGCAATTTTTGAAAGGTTGGCGGGCCACTGTCGAATTTCCGTCACCTGCAGGCTGGTGAAAACGGTTGCTGGAGGGCGGCTGTCGAAAGGACCATTCTGACACCTGTCGAAAGTTTTTTGAGCCGCAATTCTTCGAATGTCTGTGTGGCGACCTGGTTTTCGACAGCCTGTGTGGCGGGACTCTTACTGTCTGATCCGACCACTACACTACAGCCCAGCTCCACTGTAGTTTTGAGATCCCACACATTTCCCAGGTCGGCGCGGATGCCGAAATATTTTGTCCGCATTTTTTGTGTATGTATCATCGCGTTTTTTGTGTATGTACCGTGGCAGCACGTCGGCGAAGGGCGCAAACGGAAATACTACAACATTCGTGTAGACGGCGAGGGCATCACTGCAACGAAAAAGAGGGAACAATTTTCTTTTCTTTCCTTTTGTTTTCCCTTGTCCGTTTGTAGAGGTTGGAATGTCGGAGGTCCGTCAGCGAGGGGCAACCTGCACCATGACACCGTCCCACCCTGAACTGGCGCCCATAAAGAATCGCCGAGGGTCCAGGAAGACCAACAAAGAAATCTGCTGTGTGGGATCCAGTTTCTCTTTTTCGCCTCGCCAGGGGCGCTGACATCTTTGTAGTACTTTTTTGCCACTACATATATTTTTTTTAATTAATTTTTTTTAACAAATCTTGTGGCGTCAGGTAGGAGTGATGATACGAGCATGCACTCCTACCTGACTTATCGGGGCTCCATTCTATTGGTGGGGAGCTGCACCTGCTGGAAACCGGGTCCAGTGTCCCATGAGAAACAATGAAGGACGGAGGTACAACACAAACTGGGAACCGGGCCCAGCGTCAGTGGGAAATCTGCAGCTGAGTGTTGAGTCTTGTGCCTCTTCACCCTGAGAGGGCGCCAGATATACATATCTTCCTAGCACTCAATCACACTTGTTCTTGAGAAAGGCTGACCCCAACATTCACAGACAATGCAAGGGATTTTCCAGATCATTCACACGCATACCACAACCTGGGAACTAAGCAAAGGTTCGAGAGGGGGAAGGGATCAGGGAAATCCGACAGAGGTCTTAAACCACCAGTACTTGGCCCTTACATCGGCCGCGGGGCTTTCCCGTTAACGCGCCGCGATTTGTGGAGTTCGGCAAAGGCTTGGCATGGCAATGGGCTAGGGAGCTGGTGGCCCGACGGAAACCAGGCAAAAGGACTGAAAGATGTCCTGGTGGTGTGCAATGTGGAAACGCGTGGGAGGGAAAGACGGAAAAGAGAAGGAACGGGAACATGAGAAAAGAGAAAAGGAGAGTCCTTTTTCTTTCCTTTTCTTTTTTGGAAAGCATACTCCTTTCTTTTTTTTATTTTTATTTTTTCGTTTCTGACGAGTGTCTGCCAGCCCTTCCATCTTCAGGGCTTTACTGTAACGTTGTCACTTTCCAAAATGTATCTGGCTTCACTTCTGTGCCGCGGTGGATGAATCGAAGTGCAATCACGGTCAGAGCTTGGTTTACCTTTTCACCCCTTTTTCTTCTTTTTTTTCTTTTTTGAGAAGAAGATCCTAGGCAGTTTGTAATCTGACTCATCCAGCGGCCTAGCTCAGTTGGTAAGGCACACAAGTGGCATTCAAGGAGGTCTTCGGTTCAATCCCCATTGGCCTCATGCACCCTCCTGGGCATGCTTGGCGCCCACCACCTAGAGATAGCACGTTGGTCCCCCCAATTGGCATTAAAAAGCAGTCTCTGCTGATGTTCATAGGGGGAGGGGTAATCGGGGAGGCACAGCGACTGGCCAGTCAGATGATGCTCGGTCCCCTGCCACCGGCTGTCCCCTGGCCTGTGTCCCCCATTGGGGGTTCCCTGAAGGCAATCAAGGCCACCCTGGACTGAAAAGGCCACCCGATGTCAGATTAGACACAATATTGAATTTACCTGGGCTGGTCAGTGCGATGATAATACCTCAAGGCCATTGCCCTTCTGAAAAAAAAAAAAAAAAAAAAAGAAAGTAATCTAACTCCCCATTGGATACGGGGAGAATTCAATGCCTGCCAGCCCTTTCGGTTTCAGGGCTCCAGTGTAACGTTGCCACTCTCCAGAATGTATCTGGCTGCACTTCTGCGCCGGACTCAATGAATGTGAGGGCAATGACCTTCAGAGGTTGCTTTCCCTATTCACCCCTTTTTTTTTTTTTTTTTCATTTTTTGGAAGAAGATTCTTGACAGTTTACAATCTGACTCCGCGCGGGAGACAGGGAGCAACCTGCCAGCCAGCTCTTTCCAGTATGTATCTGGCTGCACTTCTGGCGAGGCTTGTGGTGCTACCTGAGTGGAAAAAAGAAAACGACGGTCTGTTTACGTTCCATCTGCTGGCAGCAGGTCCAGCATAAGGGGCAGTACCTGCTTGAAG